CGACCATCAACCACGATAGCAACACCAACACCACCTCCACCTTCACTAAGAACAACACCAACAACAATACCACAGCCACCACCACCAACAACAACAACACCAACAATACCACCACCACCACCACCACCACCCTCCCATTAACCAATGTCCTGTATTGTCTGTCCCTGCCCAGACATCCTGGGTATGACCAAAGCCCAGCAGGACAAGCTGAGCATCATCACTCACTACCTGTACCACAACCCCACGGTTCTCTACGCCCCGAATGGCTCTGCTGCAGGGCAGATCATACAGAAGGTATGCACCATTTTGTTGTTATTGTTGGGAAAGCATGTGTTGTTGTTGTTGCTGTTGCTGTTGTTATTGTTGGTGGTGGTGGTGGTGTTGTCATTGTACCATAACCCCATTGTTACCTAATCTCCTGGAATAAGATAGGGAAGATCATATAGAAGTTATGTATTTTGTTGTTGTTGTTATTGTTGTTTTTGTTGTTGTTTTTGTTTTTGTAAGTGCTGTACAGAAGCAACCAGCAACTGGATACTGATTGTCTGTATTGATGTGAATTTTCACTTGAGGATCTGTAAAAGTAAAATTTTGTTTGATTTTTTTTTTAGCTTGTGGGAAAGAAGGAATTTGAAATGCTTTTTTTAAAAAAGTAATCTTTTTTCTTATTTCCCCATTAAAAAAAACAAACTCCTTATCCCCTCAAGCCGGGAAGCGGGCGCAGTAGGAACTGCCGTGCCCGGTGAGCCGCAGGCAGCGACTTGGGTACTTCCTTTACGATGACTTCGGCATCAAATTACTTTTCATCAATTGACGAAAACAGGTCTCTTTTACTGGGACTACCAGGTGTATTTTTGGGTATAACGTGTATAGCAAGCCTTTTGGCCATGTAGTCTTTGACAAACCTTTCCTTGTTACCAAGTTTATGTGTTGGTATAATGTCTATAGCCATTGCTTTGGCCTTGTAGTCTAGAATAACCTTTTCCTGGTTTCTACATGTGTGTGTATAATGGGTATTCTCATCCTTTCCGTTGTCAGGCCAACGCTACAGTGGCCTTCATCGACTTGATCAGCGACTATGCTAGGGAGTGGCTCAACATCTCGGAGCAGCTGCATGTTTACCTACATCAGGACAAGACAGAGAGGAATCTGCAGTTGATGAAGAAGGTGAGGAGAAGGGGGATGATAGGAAGTGGGAAGGGGTTTGGGAGGGAGGGCAGTAGCTTAACATCTCAGAATAGCTGCATGTTTGTCTACCTACATCAGGACAAGACAGGGAGGAACTTACAGTTTATGAAGAAGATGAGGGAAGGGTGGGGGCTGGGCTCTTCCCAGGTAGGCTCGCTAACACACAGATTCTTTTTATGCATTATATGAAAATGATACTGGGACATCTTCTATCACTTGAGATACTTTTGTTATACCGTCTACTTATGAAAAGATATATATCATGAGGGAGAAGGGAATTTTGCATGAACTCTTACTAATAGTACACTTACAAGTCATGACCTTAGTGTGGCCCAGCCCCCTAAGAGTGTCATGTAGTTAGGGCTGAAACACTTGCTTCCTCTGAAGATCTCCTGCTTTCCTCTCACCCCACAAGTTTTCTCCCACACACACACACTCGAAGTAAGTGTTGACAAACAGCTTTGTAATATTTGATTGTCCATGTGCTATCTATTAATAAGATGAATATTTGGTGTGATTTTCTTTTAGTCAGAACACAGCGTTTTATGTTACTGTTGTACGTTGTACCCTGCCTTGTAAAGCGCTTAGAGCCTGTGTACTTTAATCGGTGTTGAAAGCAATATAAATGTCATTTATTGTTTATTATTATTATCTCCAGATGCAAGCCGACATCCGTGACAATGAGAGCCTTCTCTCCTGGCTCTTTGGCCTCTACAATCTTTCACCTTTCCTGGAGATGGACATCCACTCCAGCTCCCACTACGATCACCAGCTCCGCCTGGTGGATGCCGCCGCACACGCCTGGCTCTCCATGATGAGGGGTGAGAGAATGTGTACTGGGAAATAGCACAGCAGTGCTTTTTTAACGTTTTATGATGATGTGAGACTTGGAAGGTTTTGTGGAGAAGTTAGAGCTGTGTCAGTACTTCTTCTTTCGTATCAGACATCTGTCATCCATATCGCCCTTCTTTTTTGTGTTTGTTAATCTCTAGTAACACCTCTAATCTTCGGCACTTCTAAGACCTTATTGCATTGCAAGTGCTGCAAAACTTTTACTGAAGCTAAAACTGTCTGTGTGTCTTGGTGTTGATGAGCTTTTCTTTACTTAGAATATGGAAGACACCACAGGATGGTTCCACTTCTCTTCTTTCCCTCTATTGTTTCTGCCTGTCTGTCTTTCTTTTTCCAAGCCCCAAAAGACTGTTTTTGTGTCTTTGTGTCTTTTTTTACTCAGCAACCAAACAATTAGAACAAAGAACTAACATAACGGTATTAAACATTTTTCTTCTATCTCCCAGGGATCAACTTGAACATTTTCAGAGGGTTTGCCTCGGAAGACGACATGTTGACCTACTTCCTAACCCAGGCCTACCACGACAATGCCAGTATCATAGCAGGTCTGTCTTTCTGTGGTGACTGATATAACATACTCTCTGTGCATCTTACTTATAATAATAATAATTGCATTTATATAGCGCATATCCATATCCATGCTCAAGAGCATGCTCTATGCGCTTTAAAACTATTATTACCCCGGCAG